AAACTAAACAAGCCGTGTACCGAACCACATACTCGCTACCGAGACCAGAGTATGGTGGGCCTCATGAATCCTAGGCCTAAACCCCTGAACCCGAAACCCTAATCCCTAAATCCTAAACCCTAAACCCTCAACCCCTGAACCCGAAACCATAAAACCCTAAACTTAAGACTTAAAGCCCACAACTCTCAGAGCCAGGACTGGTCAAAGTCGATGTTCCGGTGCAGGCTCACTGCACCAGGTTGAGTCTGTTGTTGTTAAGGGTTTAGGGATTAGGGGTTGAGGTTTAGGGTTTAGGGTTTAGGGGTTGGGGGTTTTCGGCGTAGGCCATAAGGTCAGTGTTTAAGGTGGGTTCAAAAAGTTATTGCTGTCGAACTCAGGATTTGTCCGAAACCGAGTGTTGTTGCATGGCAGGCTTGGTTAGACCCCAAACCCAAAACCCTAAAACCCTAAAGAAGGGTTTATGGTTTAGGGTTTGGGCTAAAGCCCCTTAAACCCCAAACCCTAAACCCCAAAGTGGCCCTAAACCCTCAAGTGGCCCTAAACCCTTAATGGGCTTCCCAGATGAGAAGTGGTTTGCTGAATTCTAACAGCAGGTCTCCCGTCGGTGCTCAAGGTTGAGGCTACCTACAGGTACTTCGGTTTCGGATAGTAGTTATCTAAGTCGTTCTTTGACAGAGTATGTAGTTGCTCGATACGTGGACCTTTACGGGCAATTAAGTCATGTACCTCAAGTAATGGTAACATCCGTAGTATGATTCAACATGTATTTCTTGATGAAGGTATTTGGGAGGTCTGGGTAACTCAGGGGTTTAGGGGTTTAGGCTTTTAGGGTTTGGTGTTGGGCGCTACAGCAACAGCAATGACAAAGCCTCGAGCCTCAACACTCTCTAACTGGCCAGCATGACCGACACCACAATGCTTAAACGACGACGACGACGACGACGACGACGACGACGACGACAACAACAGCAACAACAAGAACAGCAGCAATAGAAAAATCGAAGTCAACACCAAAGTAGATAAAACAACATTAAACCCTAAAGCTTAAACTGAAAGCCCCTAAACCTTAAATCAGGGAAACTCAACAGTACGAAGCAGGTTCTGGTGGAGCGTGCCCTGGAGCCACTTCGCCAACGTCAGCTGCCGCTGGGGCTGCGCTAGGCCTCGTGCCGCTGTTCATTCAGGGCTTAGGGCTTAGTTTTGGGAAGGTTTAACTACATGACTATACCACGTCGCAGCACCCGAAGACGAGAGGTGCAGAGATGGCGTCGTACGTGCTGGTCAGAGATTCCTAGCTTTCTTTGCGCTGCACAAAGCAGAGTTTTGCATGGACCACCCAATGCCCAGACTTCTCGCGTGTTCTGGTCCTGAAACCCGGCAGGAGTATGAGCAAAAGGTCCTGGCAACAAGCACCCACTTGGACCAGACCCCCTGCCCTAAACCGCCCTAAATCCTTGAGCCCCTAAAGCTTAACGCCCTAATTATGCGCTAAACCCTAAACCGCCCTAAATCCTTAAGCCCCTAAAACCCTAATCATACCGGAGAGGTGTTGAGTTCACGCCAGCGTCAGGCTCCAGCATCACTCCATTGTCAGGCTCCGGCACCGGCTTGGCAAGGCCTTCTTATGCAGGTCCTGTACTGTCTGCTCAGGGCGATGTGAGCTCAACTGTACGGGCCTCTCCAGGGGATGTTCTGGTGAACACTCCAGGGGATGTTGTGAACACGCCGCCAAGACGACTCAGCACATGGATCAGAGCAATCACTCCGCCAGTGTCCTGAAAGCATCCCTGCAGAAAGCAAAGTTGGTGCCTGTGGAAGACTTCGCCAAGCTGTCCTGTATGGTGCCAGAACTATACCCTAAACCCCTAAACCCTAAACCCTAAACCCTAAATATTTAACGACCAAGTCTTGCTGGAGCTCCAGAGCGCCAAAATGCGCACGGCATCAAGCGCTCCTGTTGACGTACTTGGTGTTGTTCTTCGCAGGCAGCGTTGCAAGCTCGCTCGGGCTGGAACCTAAGACCCTAAATCCTACACCGTAGACTGAACGCAGCTATGCTACTTGACTTTGCACCTCGAAGTTCATGACATCCTAAGACACAGTTAGCATACAGCTGCAGGTTTCGTTTTGGTAAGGTCTAGTCGGTTTGGAGAATATACCCCACCGACATGCCAACATCCGCCAACCTTGAGAGGGTTTAGGGTCTTGGGGGTTAACCAGTCAAGAGCCCTCCAAGGACGATCCAGGCGCAGCAGAAGGAGCTGAAGGGAAGATGTTCGGCAGTGGAGGTGCCTTTGACAGGGTGTGTACGGTTTAGGGTTTGAGGTTCCTAACAGTTTCGAAAGGGCTCTGTGTGGGTTTCTGTAGGTTTCGAACGGGGTTAAGGGCGTAGACATTATGGGTTTAGGATTCTAGGATTTTGGGGTGGTTCTTTTAAGGGTTCCTTCTCATTCCGGATTTTTGAGTTTTCGTTCTTCCTGAAAGCGATCAATAAGGATTTGGGGCTTTGGGTTTTGGGGTTTACAGTAGGGTTTAGGGCTTAGGTTTTTAGGGTTTAGGGATTAGCGCTTCCCCAGGCCCTAAACGCTTATCGAACCCTTATGGATCCCATACTCTTATGGATCCCATACTGAGGCCCAGGGGATTTAGTAAGTCGGTTATAAGTAAGCAGGGTTCTAATTGGGTATCTGTTTTTAGGGCGCGTATAACTTTATTTACAACCTACTTACTAAGTCCCCCGGGCAAGTAGAGGAGACCGGTAACCTAGAAGGAGCCCGATCCCCGAAAACCAGGCCGAGCTCTCGGACGCCCGGCGCCGGGCGGCGGAGGCTCAGGCGCAGGCGCTGTGGGAGATAATTGATTCCATTCGGGTCCAGCGGACCCCCAAAAAATATTAAGAATAGTAGTTTAACAGTTCATAAAAAGGAGCAGGGTTCTATAAGGGTTCTATAAGGGATTTGCAGGGCGTTAGAGGGGTTTTATGGGTCCAAAGGACCCAATAATATGGTACTTTGTTTACGTTTAGGGTTTAGGGAAAACAAAACCCCAAAAGGTTTACGGTTTAGGGGTTTAGAGCTTAGGGGTTTAGGGTTTAGGGAGTTTTTTTCCCAGACCTTGGTCAGGTCACATTCCAGGAGTCCAGGAAGCAGGATCTGCAGCGGACGATTTCAAACCTCCAGGAGCCCTAACCTGCTGTGCTGAGGGTGTTGTGTGTATACATATATATATATATGTACACATACACAGACACTTACATTCAGGGATAACTATATATATATACACACACGTATAGTCATGTTTAATTATATTTTTTTGGAGCTCACTGCATTGGCTAGAGAATATAAATATATATATATATATATGTATGTATATATATATATATAGATATGTATGTGTACGCATTACAAATCAGGGTCATATATCCCATACCTAAGGCCATAACCTACTACGTCGATCTACTTTGTGTGGTTTTGAGCAACAGGTCGTTGCTACAGTTTGGGGTTTAGGGTTTCGGGTTTGGGGGGGTGGGGTGGGTTGAGTGTCTTGTCTGCCCGAAGCCGAAGGCTCAGGGACATAGTGGGTAGTTCTCTGAAGTAGGGTCCAGATTTTTTGGTTCCCCAATATGGTATGGCGCCCTTATACAAAGGACCCTAAAAGGGACCCCAATGTGGAAAGCTATGGTGTGACAGGGGGATGCCTGCATTCGGAATGATGATCTACTCACTAACCCTGCAGCCCCAAGGCCCCATGTCCATGACCATGTATACATATACACACACAACTCAATATATAGATATATACATACATGTATGTATATATGTATAAGGTATGCATATATGTATATAATACATATATATATATATAGTTGTTTATACGTGTATATATATATACAATTTTATATCGTTTTATGTGTGTGTATATATATATATATATGTATAAATATGTGTGTGTATATATATATGTATATATATATATACATGTATATGTGTGTGTACAAAAAACATTTGTAATATATACTTAGGGTTGAAGGCTTTATATCACTTATCTACGAACTAAGTATATACTGTATTGGTACATGGAGCCGCCGCTATGGAGTAAAGCTCGGGCTGGAATGCTATCGCATCATAGAGGAACTTGATCTCTCCGGGCTTGGACCTCAGATTCCTTCGACTTTTACGTTTCTGTCATTGACAAAAGGTTTGTCGAGTTCAAAGATGTTCAAAAGCCCGTGCAGAATGCAGCTTCAAGACCCTTTCCTCGGTGCTTTAGCTCAGAGAAAATTCTACACGAGACCCTAGACCCTGAACGCCCCAACCCTAAACACCCGAAGCCCCAAACTCTACACCCTAATACAGGGGCCTAAATGATTACCAATACTATTCTGGTGGTTCCTTATTGTAATTTATAGTACAAACGGCCCCAAAACCCTATTCTAATTAGTAAGTCCCTTATATTATACGTCGGACCGTAGGTTGGGAAGTCGTGAAGGTACCTACTATAGAGGGTACTAGAGCCCCTGGGGCCCTATATGGTAGGCACCTGAAAGGTTAGGGATAATCTTAGCTAGCATGTTGAACATTACTGTATGATTATGGGGTACATGGAGCCCAAAAACCCTGAACCCTAGACAGTCATGTTCACCCTGCGCTGCTTGCAAGCTTCTCAGCCGGGAAAAAGGGAGGGGAATGGGAGGACAAACAAAAGAAGGGTTTCCCTAAAGTCCCTAAGCGACGAGGATAGAAAATCCTCTGATACCACCCAAATGCAGCGCTAACTTACACTAGGGTTTAGGGTTCAGGTTTATCAAACAATTACCATAGTCATCCACCATCCTAAACCCTGAAACAAAAACACTTAGCTACTATTGGGTAACTTGGACTCTTTAGGGAAAGAGAGGAAGAAGTTTGCTTAAGGCATCTCCAGGCCTAAGTGAGATTTCAGGGTTTCGGGCTTGTAAGGTTTAAGGTTTGGGGTTTAGGGTTTCCCCGATAGGCCAAGCCATGGCCGCTGTATCGGGGCTCGAGGAGAGATGGTCCACCGAGCTCTGCGGAGGGCGTTTGTATCACTTCTCCTGGCTGGGGGATCGTCTGGTTCGGGTGTGGACACCCCCGGGCTGGAGTAAAGGGAAAGTGCCGAAAGCTTTGTGGCTCAACGACGGCCAAAACTTGTTCCGAGATGAAGAGGCCTTTGGTGGTGCTTCCTGGGGTGCGGCTGGTACAGTTGCACACCTCATTAGCTGTGGGGCCATCCCCGAAATTCTTGTTCTGGGCATGGACCATTCCGGCAGGATGCGGACATTCGACTATCTGTCAGTGCCGCCGACTGGCTGGGATGCGCCCTGGGGCAAGGGAATGCGCGGTGACATGTGGGACGCACCTGGCGGAGGAGTTGACGCCTACATGGAGATGCTCTTCAGTGAAGTAATCCCATGGGCCCAAAGCCATTTTGGCTTGTCGGAGGCACCCGAAGATCGAGTCTTCGGCGGGTCTTCCTTTGGAGGGATCTGCGCACTCTACATGGCGAGAAGTTACCCTCGTGCCTGGGCCGGCTTTCTGGTAGAATCGCCTTCTTTCTGGGCGGGTAACGGCCGCTTTATGGAAGACGTAAAGACATGGCAATCGAGCAAGATGTACCCGGATCGTATGTATTTGGCCATGGGTGAGTTCGAGAATCTCGGCCGATGTTCAGCGCCTAGAGTTTGCTGCAGGGGTCGGAATACTTACTAATATTATCCAGTATTCAGTATGCCCCTTTTTAGTCCCTATACGGCTACTACTCCAAAACCCAGCTCTGGCTATTAAGGCCTCCATCTTGGGGTATGTGGGTTGTCCTTCTTGCCCGCGAGGATCTTATATGTTACAAGGCAGTTACAGGCATCCGACAACGGATTTGCAATGAGACGCTGAGGTACACGGGATTTCGTGGAACGGACCGGCCAGGCAGCTTGGAATGTGATACTGGGCGTTGGAATACCATACTTTAATACTTTTTGGGGGATCTGTTCCTTAAAGGAGCCATTATGAAATAAAAGTCTATACTTGTTTCTCCCTGCTTACTTCGAAGCCCAGGATCGAGTCTTGCGAGAGGCCTGTGAGGAATGTGCAGGACATCTTCGCCCTCACATTGGCTCAGGCCTGATTGTGCCAGTCTGTCTATCATAGAAGCTTAAATAATTACCAATACTGTTTTGGGGGGGGGCTCCTTATTAGAGTTATAGTATAACATATGCCCCAAAACTTCTTCGTATGGGCTATTAATATTTGCCACCCTAAACCGTACTAAACCCCTATAGACCCTAAACACCTAAACCCGAAGCCCCTTAACCCTTAACCCTAAAAACTAAACCTTCTTCTTCGTATGGGCTAGCGCTTATCAAGTACTCACACTCGGAAACTGCAAGACCTCCTCATGTCCAGGACTATGTGTTCTGTAGACTGCTACGTCTAAGAGTCTAAGATGTCTCACTGTAAGGTGGTTTAGGGTTTAGGGTGTAGGGTGACAGTCTATAGTCCTGACTTCTCCTTAGCTGTGTTGAAGAGCTTCCTACTCAGAAGCTATGGCCACGCTCAGTACTACATAGATGCATGGACCCTTCCAGGCACCCTAAACCCCAAACGCTACAACCCTGCTAAACCTTATATCGCCTTGGTCAATTACCCTAAGGGTCAAATTACCGAATAGTCCTATATTCTCCCAAATATTACCCTACATAACTCCTATTACCCGTAACCAAAGTATGAAAGAACCTAATTATAGAGTCCCTTGGACCCAACAAGGGTCAGAATCACCCATGTATCAGGTTTTTTGCAGAGGCTCCACATATAGTACCATTATGGATGTAGGTCCCAAAAGACCAGCCTCATTATGGTTTTGGGTACCTAACTCCATAATGGTACTATATATGGAGCCTAAACCCTAAACCCTAAACCCTAAACCCTAAACCCTAATATGGAGCCTCTAAGCCCCTTTAAGGAAAAAGGCAAAAGAGCCTCCAGGTCTGCTTTCTTTCCTGGAGCCCGGGGGTCGACATAACGAGCGCGACTGGGGGCGGCGCTTTCCCTGTGCCTTGCGATGGCTCTTTGGACTACCGAGCTCATCTCCCCAGCAAATCTGGACAAGGCTCCCGGGTTTTATAGTCTAGGGTGTTAAAGTTTAGGGTTTAGGGTTGAGGGGTTTTGAGTTTAGGGTTTTGGGTTTCGGATTTTAGGGCTTAAGGTTTTTTTGAGTTCGGGGTTTGGAGCTTTAGGGTTAAGGTTTAGGGCTACGGATATTTGCGCAACAGCAGCTGACATCTTTGATGCAGACGGTCTGAAGGGACTAGTGTACAAAAGGCTGGCACAACGGCACTTGCTGGACATGGTGTGTGTGTGTGTATGAAAGTATACATGTTTATATATATATATATACACACACCATATTATGTATGCACAAAACACGTAAGTATGTATGTATGCATGCATGCATGTATGTATGTATGTATGTATGTATGTATGTATGTATGGGTGACTCACTTTGTATATACAAATATGTGTACATATATATATATATATACACATCAATGCAAAGTAATACATATCTACACATGCATCTAGACCCATGTAGACACATACAGAACACGTGCATACAACACCTTGGTTGAGCTCTGATTCCGGCTATGGATAGGTCAGATGTGCAGAAACCCTCAACCTCAAAGCTGTCAGCCGAAAGCCGCGCAGCATTAAACTGGAAACCCCAAATCCTAAACCTAAGACACCCTAAACCCTAAACCTTAAACCCCTCACCCTAAACCCCTAAACCCTAAACCCAGCAAAGCCAACCCTAGAAGTGCCAACCATAAGCCCTAAAGGCCCGTTCCCTACACCGAGACGAAACCCCATAGAGCCCCAAGACCCGCAAGCTTCAAGGCCTCGAAGCCTTACTTTAACCTGCCAAAACCTATTTTAGGGTTTAGGGTTTAGGGTTTGGGGTTTAGGGTCGGGTCCCTATAAATTCCATATAACGGTGTATATCAAGAACCTTCAGAATTGTCCTGTATGGTAGCTTTAGGTATCCAATATCTCAAAGCTCCTAAACCCTTCTGATTACCAGATGGGCCACCAGATAATATCCTTTTGGCAAGCCTTACAGAACCCTTTGAAGAAAAACTTTAAATCCTGAAGAAAAACCCTAAATCCTAAACTCTATTACCCTAAGCCCTAAACCCCAATACCCTAAACCCTAAACCCTAAACTCCTAAACCCTAAACCCTAAACTCCAAACTCTAAACCTTAAACCTTAAATCCTAAACCCCATCCCCTATACCCTAAACCCTAAACTCCTAAACCCTAAACCCCAATACCCCAAACCCTAAACTCTAATACCCTAAGCCCTAAGCCCTAAACCCCAATACCCCAAACCCTAAACTCCTAAACCCTCAACCCTCTAAACCGACAAGCCTCTTTTCCAGGCCCTCCCCTCTGAGACCTGGGCCCTTTGAGCTCTTCGTGCGGAGAGGGGCCGTGAAGCTTCCGGAGGGCAAGCGTCTCCAGGCGAGAAGTCTCGAAATTCAGGGGGTTTAGCGTTGAGGGTTAAGGGGGTTTAGGGTTTAGGGTTTAGGGTTGAGGGCTAAGGGGGTTTAGGGTTAAGGGGGTTTAGGGTTTAGGGTTGAGGGTTAAGAGGGTTTAGAGATTGGGGTTTAGGGTTATATAAGAGGATTTAGGGAGTAGGGTGTTTTGGTACATATCGAGTGTCAAAATTCGGGGTTTAGGGTTTAGGGTTAGGGATCATGGTTTTCTGGTAGTATTATGGAGGGTCGAAATTCGTGTAGGATTAGACTGGATCCTATAAAACCTACCTGGCTTATGATTTCTTTATATGAAACCTTAAAAAGGTAGGTCACTTGGGGTTAAGGTAGGGGATGTAATCTGATACGCTGTTTGGATGTACCTTATAATGGATCCAGGATGATCCGTCTTCGGGTCCTCAGGGTTTCAAGGTTTTTGCGGTGTTAATTAAGCTTTTACCCTCAAAGGACTCATAGTTTAAGGCAGCTGGGCCCAAAAACCCTATCACATTAGGCATGTGGGCTATTTTGATGATAAGGGAAACAGTTTTGGGGATTCATGGTTTTCGCGAGATTGTGGGTTTGAGCTTGGATTTAGGATTCAGGCCTGGGTTTCACCCCCTACTCGAGAAGAATGCAGTCAAGTCTTATCTTCGGTGTACTTAGCAATCTAAGATTATGTGTTTCGCTGGGTCCCAAGTACAGCATAGTTATTAAGGTTTCAGGCTCAAGGTTTGGGGTCCAATAAAGGGCTGCGGCTTGTAATTCTAAACCGTAAATCCTTAAACCCTATCCCTAAACCCTTAAACCCTGAACTCTAACCCTTAAACGCGAATCCCGAAACCAGACCATGCCAGGTACATCTTGGTTTCAATGACTGGTCTTGTGGCGTGCAGACATGCGACCTGCTCCCGTCTGGTCTCGCTCTTGCGGACGGAGACGAGCCAGCTGCTTGAGGATCAATTTCCCTAAGGCTCCATGTACCCTTTTAGTAGGCCTAAATATCTACTATAAAGGTACATGGAGCCTTTGGGTTTTGCATCTTTATCAGGATGGGAGAGCAAGGAGCTGTTAAATCAACTTGGGCTGCCTACCCTAAACCCTGAACCCTAAACCCTAAACCCTAAACCCTATCTTGAGGACCGGGATCAAAGCTGACTGAAACTACCAGTTTGAAGCCTTTGCAGAAGCAGGTTTAGGGTCTTGTGGTTTAGGGTTTAGGGTTTAGGGTTTTGGTTTAGGGTTTAGGGTTTGGGGTCTTGTGGCCGGAAGCTTGTGGTGCTTTCCTATGCTTTGAGATTGGTTTGGTCTTGAAAAACTCCTCTTTCAAGATCCCTAGCCCGTACACCCCTCACCCCCTTCTGTAGTACAGGGCTGTACAGCCCGTTATAGATCCGATTAAGCAATAAGAACCCATCTAGGAGCCTCAAATATTAAATTCCCTTGATACTCCTTGAGGTTCTGGCTGCTCTCGGATCCGTGCCAGACGGTGCGTCGGGCATGAAGTTTCTGGGTTGTGGTTAAGTTGAGGAATTAACTTAAAGAGTTTAGGGTTTAGGGTTCTTGAGGAATTTCTTGTAAGAGTTTAAGGTTGAGGGCCTAGGAAATGTAAGTTTCCATATTAAGGACATCATTCATATCCCCTAGCCAAAACCCAGGCTTGTCTTTACGAACGGCGACGCCTGGGACAACAACTCTGGCAAGGACGGAGATATGACACAAGCTCGCGGTTTAGGGTCCTTAGTGATTCGGGGTCAAGGGTTCAGGGTGTAGGGCCTAAGGGTTTCATGCATGCATGCATACATACATACATACATACATACATACATACATACATACCCACGCATTTGCATATACATATACATATAGATATATACATATAAATACATGTATATCCATAGGCCTGTGTGTGTGAATCGCAGAAGTTATCGGAGCATATATTCGCTGGATCGTGGTTTTGATACAGTTTGATAGAACCCTAGGGGTCCAAGTACCTGCAGCGCTGGCAAGGACTACTGCTTGGACGAGTCTGGCAAGGCAGTGCCATGACTGAGCATGGATATTCACAAGTCGTTTTTTTCCAAGCTGCTGGCCGCGGTTTAGGGTTTAGAGTTTAGGGCTTAGGGCTGCAGCTGCACTATGCTGGTTCAAACGGTTCAAAGACTGGCTTCTGCAAGCCAGCCTGCAAGTTGCCAAGAGTGGACCTGCCTTCATCCAGTTTTACCGCCGCTGGCAAAAAGAATGCCCGAGTGCTGCACATGGGTGTGAGAGAAAGAACGGATGGTAATGTTGCTGTTCACCTCACGCTTTGGAGTCACTTGTTGTGTCATCAGTAGTTCTCTCGCTTGACTGCACACTAAACCTTTACCCTAAAACCTAAACCCTAAACCACCTTTCTCTGACATGACACAGGAGACAATGGACGACATTGAGAACAAGAGGAACGAAACCATGGAGGAGTTGGCGCTCACCAATCCAAGTATCATATCTGAGTGTTCTAAAAAAGGGGCCTGGATAATTACAAATACTATTTTTGGGGTTCGTTGTGGGTGTTCCTTTTATCGTTAATAAGTATACTATAATAAAGGAGCCCAAAGACCTATTGACAATTATTAAGTCCCCTATGTTAGTTGTTCCAAACAAGGCCCTGGACCCCCGTAAACCCTAAACTCCCATACCACTGAGCCCGAACTGCCCTGAAATTCATGGTGTTTCTGGAAAGCACCGACTTAGCCTAAACCTAAACCCTAAACCCTAAAACCTAAACCCTAACCCTAAAACCTAA